CACACACACACACACACACACACACACACACACACACACACACACACACACACACACACACACACGAGAAACCAGCCCACGGTTATTCTCAATCAATGCGTTTCAATCAGCAAACTGATTGGTAGCAGGTGGAGGCGACACGCATGTTTACTGTACGCTTGTCTGTTTCAGTATCATTCACATTCATGCATTTGTCAGACACTCTAATCCAAAGTGACTTACACTGCATTGGGTCTTTAAAGGAGTGTTTCAGATGCGATTAATCAAATGAGTTCTGACTCTGTTTAGCGTGCTGCTGTACCTGTCCGAGAGAGAGCGGCACGGCATCCTGCGTGTGTGTGCGGCCGATCTTTATGATGTCTTTGAACTGTTCAGCTTTAGCAGCGAGAGCGTCATGCAGCGTCTGAAGACCCGGCAGAAGAACCTCATGCACCTCTTTAGCAGCAGCGATGTGCATGGCAGTGGGGAACGTGTCATTAGAGCTCTGCAGCAAACACACCAGACAAACATTAGCTTTGCATAACCTAACCGCTGAGTTCACTGTGCAGATATTACCTATGTAGCAGGTTGAGTTTTAGCTAGTCTGGATATTAAAGAAAATATGTGCATGCTGTTTGAAAGGTTTAACACTGAGAGAAATATCAGTGTGCACGATTGATTTACATTATTTACACACGAGAGTGATGAAGAAACATAGATTCATGTGAAAACACAGAGCAGGATGTGAACCAAACAAGACAAGAAATAATTTGGTATTAAGGGTGTTTGTTATTTATTATTTATTGGTATTAAGGGGTGAAAGAAGCACCATTCATTTGTGAAGTATTTAATTCAGTGGATTACACAAAAATAGGCATTACCTCATGGTGTTTAATATATTATTTTAATTTCCATAAATAATAACTACTTGTGAGATAATAAAATAAATGAATAAATATAAAATGAATTTATATGCAATGAAAAATAAACATTTAAACAAACAAAACTATTAAAAATAAAGATTATATATTATTAATTTCATTTCCATTAAAAATAATTACTTGCGAGACAACAAAAATGAATAAATAAATATAAAACATAAAATAAATATTGTTTAATTTTAAATGTTCAAAAAAAAAAACAAGAACAAAACAATAATAAAACAAAATATAAAAATAAATTAATTTAAATATATTATTATAATATTACATTATAATAATATCATTACATTATACTATAAAATAAGTTAATTAAAATATAACAAATGAATTAACATAAATAAAAAAATAAAAAAATATCATCATGTATATCATGAAATGAATACCCATACCGCCCATATGGATCTGAGTGTGAGT